ACAGAAAACATTTTAGTGCAATCGAATAATTTGCTCAATACTCAAAAACAAGATGTGATAGAATTTTGTCTTGAACACATCATTGTTAGAAAGAGTTTTCCATGTATATTTTCCGTATGTATTCTTGGTTTGTCAGAAAGGATGTCTGAACCGATAAAAAAATATAGTAACATTACTTCAAGAACTTTTACATCATTCGCTCAATATTGAGCAAATTGAAAATTTTAAATTCTGTTATATTAACATAAATCCTTTCCGACACATAAATTTTATTGATATGTACCTTTATTGGTTTAACAATTTTTCTCTAGAGGTTTCTATATGCCGTCTTAGTCCTCGACGAAATTCAAAAACTCGTGTACCATCAGCAACACTATGAACACGAATTACCGTTTCCTTTAAAAAAAGTCCATAAAAGCAATATTTTCAAAAAATTAAATACTTTATTTGATGTTGTTGCTAATTTTGTTCCACTCATATCAAAAGCCATTGCAGCAAGTGGACTTTCATGAGCACTTATAATAATACCTGGTTTCTACATACATAAAGAAAAAAAGAACAAAATCAATAATCTAATGAAAAACAAAAACAAAAGAAAAAATTCAACAAACTAGATTTAATGTATCAAAAACTTGTACCTGACCAGTTAGTGATCTACCCAGATAGGCTAAATAAGAATTATCGCTATTTGATGATAATGCACAAAGACCTTCACGATTTGATGCTACATTTAGAATTATATGTAAAACTTTCATATCGTGCATATTATGAATATAAATACTTTCTTCCAAACAAACGATAAGTCTCTAGAAGAGGGTGTGGGCGTGAGTGTAAGTGTGGGTCAAGAAGAAGAGAATAACCACATCCACACCCAATCGAACGTCGATCGGAGGTGACGGCAAGGAACATCATAAATGAGCATGCTGGAATTCGACTTTTCGTGGTTTTACTACGCATGATAGTTGTGCTCAAACAAGAACGTTGATCAACAATACAACTTTTGCAACTAATATCTTTAGTTCAGCAATCGGAAAATGTGAGAAAGCAATAAATAGAATGTATTATTGGAACATCTGTATTGTTCTATCTTGTTTTACATAACATCTGATTATTCACGATCTGAAATTGCACTGAATAATATGCAAGCAAAATTTAAGTTCTGGAAAATGATTCATCATACAAATTACTCAATGAAATTTTACCTGTCTTTGCGAAATCGTTAATGCCAAACACGTTATGTATTGTACAATAACATAGAATCTACTTGAAGAGTAGCACATAAATTCATTTTATTGATTTGTTCAGAAAAAATAATTGTATCATCGATTTGTGCAACAGTGTTTATTAGCAGCGGTAAAGACAGTTTATTTATTAATTAGCTTGACTGCAACATGTCAAAGACCTCTTTTAGGCTGAAAAAATGTTTCAATTCAAATTATAGTGTATCACTCTGTGCATGGAATCGAATTACATCATTAACGAGAGTAGAACAAAAACAAAAACACACTACTAGATCTAAAGTTGGAAATAAAACTTGAGTTATTTATTTTTCTCAATCTTTATATCAGTTTTAATCACGGACGTACTAATCATCAATTGTAAGATCACATAAGTAATAAGAACAATCATTGCAAAGATTGTTTTACCAAATAATGTACTAGTTAAAATAAAATCAAATAACCATATGCGAGAAGGGATAGCAATTTCTATAAACCAAAATAATTCAATGAAAAGATCAGAATAAATCGAAGGTGTCGATGCTTGAGGTATGCCAAGACCATCAAATGTATCATGTTCAAGAAAATGTTCATAGATACGATCCTGAGAAAAATACACGAAATATTAAATTAGATCATTCTCAGCATTCTTTCAATCATAAATTATGTCATGTGGAATTCTATATAATAATTAAGCAACTAAATCAAACCATCGCTAAAGAGTATGGATATATATATTACTTCAATTTTCATGGAAAACATCGAAATGATTATTCTATTATTGCAATAGAAGAAAAATACTGTTTTTTTAATTAAGAATAAAGGAGACACGAGAATATTGACAGCATTATACGATTTTATTTGTTTGTTTGAAAATTATCAATGATAAACCTGATGATAGCTCTTTTGTGGTAATTTTCTTTGCACATAATTCATCATGCAGCACATCAAATCTTATTTGAAAAGTCTTCGTTTTGTACATGGTATGCGGTACGATGCATCAGTATCGAGTTGAATTGAAATACTGTAAAAACTCTCTTAAATGGACACCGTCGGAAGCTTTCTCGCTCTGTGGGACCAAAATTTTGTTCAAAATGTGAGATGTTCATTAGTAGAAATTTCACTGTATATCTATTTATTGCTAGTAAATTTTCTTTATACAATGGGAGTCAGTTTCTTAAGGAGTGACCAATCAGAATAAGAAAAGCAAAATTGTGCTGCTGACATTTTTTAAAATATAAATAATCTGCATTTTCCTTTTCTTCGTTTCTATCAAATCCTTTTATTTCACTGTAGTGACATTCATATTTATGCTATAAATGTGTAATTTAAGAATAGATGTATCATATGTGTATTTTTTTCCTAAATTTGATATTTTCAAATCGAAATATGATTGTAATTGACAAAAAGCTATTCTAAAGTGTATATTTGATAAAATTTCCAGCTTGAAGTGTTGATGAGTAATGGTAAAAATTGTTCAATTTTCTAATTATTTCGATTCACTATTCCAAGAAACGAAAACAAAAACTAACATAAAGTTTTGATTGATTATAAAAGTTTGCAAAAAGGTCTACAAAATCATATATTTTTCGATTTCCTGTAAATTAAAGCTCTTATTATATCGGAGAACTCGGCTTTCGTTTATAGGACATTTCCTGAATATTTGACTCATGCTTTATGGATTTTAATGAGAAAAAAAACTGACGATAGAAGTGAAATGTTCAACTGAAATTCGTCACAGAGTCTCAGTAAAAATTGAATTTAAGTAAAATATAATTGTTTTATTGAGTGGTCTTCGAATGATAATTTACACGTTCACAAAATGGATTCCATTATCTCAGTGAAATATTTCGAGGAAAGAAATTAGGATGAAAAACTCTTGAAGCCAACTAAATCTTCGTATGCTAATTTTAAATATATTAGTACTTTTGACTAAGATCTCATTAATAGCAGTCAAAAATTCAAGCAATGGCATTTATTAGAAAGTGAAGCTCTTTTTTGTAGCCATCTCTATGAGATTTTAGAATCATTGAAAACTTCGTTTGTTTTTGTTTCTCATATTAATGAGCATGCTAAATGCTTGATTCAGAAAAACTAAGCATAGACGATAGTTCGATTTCTAAATCAAACATATACTGTACACCAATAAATATCACTATTTTGAGCTTAAGTATATCTACACTGTTCGAAAATGGCATTATTTAGTTATGCAGCAATCTCTCGTGAAATTCTACAGTCAGTAAAACATAAATTCAGGCGAAAACACCTT